CTTCTTCCTTTTCTCCTTCTCCCTCATTTTCACCAAACTGAATTGCATTTGAAGTTTTCTTGGTGTATCGGTGTCTGACAACTCGAAAGGCGGGGTCAGATGCCAAAGATGTTGAATTCAGGGTTTCTAAAGCACCGAGTTTTTCAGTAGATACGCCAAAGGTATCCCAAGGCACTAATCGGCCTGGACCAACATTGAATGCTCTCCATACTCGAATACCATTCATTTCGTATTCAAAGTTATTTAGCAGGCTTATACCATCCCACCTCAATGAAAGTGTGCTAGCAGTTGTAGCAGCAACATAGGTGGCCTTAACTCCAGGTAGTCCTTGTCCTGATTCAATACCAGTTTTGAGCTGTAAAGCGTTGTTTACATCATGGCCTTCATTTACATACCTTCCAATGGCCCCCTTAATTGTGGCTGCTTGGCGGTCGCATGCCCCCTTTCCTCCCTGGGGATCCGAAAAGTCATTCCTTATTATAGTCACGCCAGCAAGATCACCAGCCAGCTTAGCAGATACAATGGAATTTCCGCTATGATAACAGCCAGCGTTGTCTTGTTTATAGTACGCTTTTTCCAGGTAAGGCATTTCCTTTTTCAGCAAACGAAGACAATCTACCATTATGCCAGACACCGTGCTGCTGTCTTGTGTACAGCTTTGAAACACATGAACAATCGTTGTAGACTCAAGGTGCTTGTTATCTTGTGACTTGCGAACGGCAACCGTAATGTGCCATGGGAGACCACGCTTGGCAAACCAGTCAGACTGGGCTTCTCTGAATTTCCGTGGTATATACTTCATTGCCCAGTCTTGTACCAAGAGCACAGATTTGTTATCAAGTTTGTTTAGGACGGAATGCTTTGCCTCATCTTGGTGGACAGATCGCAATAGATGGGCTTTCCAAGACAAGATAGCATCTTTAGCGCGTTGGAGCACATACACCATGTCACTTTTCTCTTCTCCATCACTGTAGTTTCCATAAACTAGGTGATGGGCAATTTCAGACCATATTTCACTGAGTTGACGAATTTATTTCCTTTACATGCGAATTATCCATACATTTCAACTTCTACTGCATGAATTACACTAAATCCACATGAATCCCAATTCATAGGCAAGAAATAAAGCTTGTTGTTGCTGCGTAACTTCAGTGAGTCTTCTAAAGAACTCAAACTAATGTGGACTCAAACAATGTTCACAACTGTGTGTTGTGTGCCCTTGAGGTCAGTAAAATTACTGGCACGCGCGGGCACGTGGCAATCACGTGCTCTACCGGAAGTAGGCCGCTACAATCACTACATGATGTAGTGGCGCATTCATTTTCCAAGATGCGAAATACGTTTTTCAACTGAGAGCATTGCGCACATGAATCAAGGTGGAGATGGTCACAGTCGCCTTTGAAGTCTGCGTCGTTCGGGTCACTAAGCGCATAAACGCGACAATGATCGGAAATGGTCGACGATTCAGCAACATGCAACTAAAAAAAGAGATTAAACGGATCAATTGATTAAATTAAGGTTTCAGTAAATTTACACAGGCAACGAATGTTACTCTA